TCCCTTCCCCGCCCGCCCCGCTCGGTTCCACCTCGGCGCGTCGAGGGCGCGCATGGAACCCCAGCTCTGTAATCAAGCCCACTTTTTGGCAAAGGGAGATCACCAATAAAAATGAACATTCAAGACAAATTGCATTGCTGGTGGCGTTACAGATATTAATGGGGAGGCCTCCCCTCCCCTCCCCGCTGGTTGCTTTTCAGACGCCGGCAAAGAGCTCCAGCGCTTGCCGAGAGCTAGAAGGGGACGGCGGAGGGCAGACAGAGAAGCGATAGCTGAGAAAGCATCCCAAAACGCCGCCCCCCCCCGCCCCCCATAGCTTCCAATTCCGAGGGGCTCTCGGGAGCCGGGCTGAAGCGGGGCCACCCACCTCCTTGGAACTCTTTCCGCGGCTGGGAGCATCTTCTTCCCTCCCGCCCCCCAACCGCGGAAGGAAAGAGCGGCGCCCTCGGTGCCCACCGCAACGCACCTGGCGACCCAGCCCGCCCTCGCCGCTCTTCCTCACCTGGACCCGGAGCGCGTAAGTGTGGTGGCCACTAAGACCGGTCTGGCACGGGGCGGGGGTGTTGCGGAGTGAGCACGGGGAAGCGAGAGTTTCAGCTGCCTAGAAATCGAGCCTTGGTTCAAGCTTTGAAGTTCCCAAAGTGTTTCAAAACTGGGGAGAAAGTTTGGGACTGGCTGGAGCTTAGGGAGGGGGCAAGTACCCTCCCACCCACAAGAAGTCTGGGCACTTCTTGGATGGGATCACATCTGAGTGCGGACTCTCCCTCCTAGTCCTCATTGAGGCTAATCCGGATGGCTTTTCCAGCTGCGGTGGAAATGAAGTCAGCCTGACCGCCTGGCCGGTGGTGGGCTGAGCAAAAAAGGAGGGTGGTTCTTGTATCCCCCGCAAAAGCTTCAGTTCTCCGGACGTGCAGATTTTCTTCCTGCAAGAGAGAAGGGTTTTCGGATGAAGCATCTGGTCCGGTTTCCAAAGACGCTCTAGAGGAGGGTTAATCTTGCACCAGCCTTCGCCAAGCGGGTTGAGGGAACCGAAGGGGTAAATGCGGGCTGGGGGCTGTTGTATTTCTCTCTCATGTGTTGGAAATCTGCACTGATCCTTTACTTCGCATGAATGCACTGGTCTAAATCATGGAATTTTCTTGCGGAAAGTCCCTTTGATCTGCATAGAATTAATTTTCCAGGGCTCACGGGGCAGCATCCGTTGGGCCCTTACATTGAAGTAACCCCGTTGAACTCAGCCAGACATACTTTTAGGTTGAAACCTATCGGGTGGTCCTTTCAGTCAAGGGCTGTTTTAGAATTTGTGAAAATAGGGGAGGGAGGGAAAATCCACAAGCGGGCCAATCATTTAATTAGGTCTGGTGAGGCAGCTTTTTGGCCAATTCTAATAAAGAAAGCCTGTCCAATTCTGGCTTTTAGACTTGGCGGATGAGAAGTGTCAGTGCTTGAAGTAGTGCCCGAGGTCCTGCAGTGGCTGCCCCCTTTCCCCTCCACCCAGTAATGCCGTGGCTGACAGAAGCCACAACCCGATGGATTCTGAATGTCCTGAAGCTTAACTGCTTTGAGATTTAATGCTCTCCTGGGAAACTCTAGTCTGTTCATCCCTAAGGACTTCAGAGAAACACGTGTAGAGATTGCACGTTTAGAGGACAGGATGTGCATGGGTGTGTGTGTGTGAGAGAGTGAGAACAAGAGAAAGTGTGCTTCTCTGATAGAGCGAGACTTCAATTTTGTTCGTTTTCTGCACCTGTTTATGACCGGACTAAACAGGCATTGCTAAGTAATTGAGTCAAACTATTTTTGTGTGGTTGGGGCTCCAAAGCCCCTGATCGTGGACGTGTTTGTGAGAAATCTGCTCATGTTGCTGGAGGGGTGGGAGAACAGGGAAGGAAAAGAGTTGATTTTATCCAGAAATCCATCAAACTTTGTGTTCAGATTCAGAGGAGGGAGGGAGGTGTCAGCCAGGCACTGAACTCTCCAAACTTTGCTATTCTTTTAATTGTCCCAATGTCAGCAAAGTCTCTCTCTCTCTCTCTCTCTCTCTCTCTCTCTCTCACACACACACACACACAC